ACACTTTCTGCATCCCAGCTAAATTCTTTTAGCCACAAGATTATCCTTTCTCTGAAATATTCTCAATAGATAGTGACAGCGTAGGCACCTTTTAGCTGTCATGGTACTATTTCTTATTTCCAGATATTGCAGACAAATGAGTTTAGATGGTCAACCATTACGGTACATTCCCATTTAGAGATCTTAAAAGATTTCCATCTGGCACAGATCTACCATTTTTCACTACTGGCAAGAGTTTTCAAACCTCTTTGTGAGTATGAAGAAGGTTGTCCTGTATTAGCTGTTGTTTCACATAAGCAAAAGCATTCTCTCTGATGACAGATTTATGATTAAGGTGGCTGGTGAAATGTTCCCATCATCAGAACATAATGGATACTTTGTCAGTAAGCAATTCACTTCCATTCACAGAGGTACAATTATCAGCCTTGTGGGATATGAAGACAGTTTTGAGTGCTCCATAGAATTTTAGTGTTTATTTCTAGTCTACAAGCAACAGTAGCTCATCTGCTGTCTTCCCCAGCCAGTTATTTTTCATACATCCATGCTTATTCAGGATTTCTTCCTCAAAGATCTCAACAAATCTGCTTGTTAAGCACATATTAATGCTCACAGAGGACATATATTTGTCCTTTTTGGAAGAAATGGTAGCCACTGCTAGGCTCAGTGAAATGATTCTCATCTGCTGTTCTGGAATAAGGGCTCAGCAACAGTGCACAAGACCTTCCATTCTAAGGCCACCATGGTTCTCTCTGTTCTGTTGGTTATTATCTTAATGTGAGAATGGCATTTGCCATATTTAATAGATGTTTAATAGATATTGACATACAGTCGAACAATTGAAGCTTCAGTTTTTGGTTCTGTAAACAAGAACAAATGTTCTTATATGTCATTGCCTCATTAGGACATCCCCAATGCAGTCAGCTAAGGACATCCTTAATAGATATTCCCAAGATACTGACTTTCACACAGGGAAACTGAACAAATGGAAGAAGTATAGAGCTTCAGTCGTAATATGGGCAAGGTCCCATGCACATCTTTGGGATTCTTATCTTCGGCAAGGGTCTCTGTCCATAGCTTCTTTTGTAGGATAAAGCAGTATGTAGGCATACTGAAGACCATGAAGGGTATAAGATTAGACATATAACTTCCACACTTACAGCTACTGTACCAGAAGGATATGCGGGGCAGAACATTTTAATCTGCATCAGGAAGGACAACTAACTACTACCAGGCTTGTAAAGAGAGTTTAAGCCAAAGTACTTTAGCTTTAAGTTTAAACATTAACTGCAGTTGATTGCCTACTTCCTCCTTTCCCTCTTCCAGAGATATTCATCTGGGCACAGAGAAGCATGGATACCAGTCTTAAATACCTAACAGAATAGACACCAATGTAAAGAAGCCAAATATAAGTTTCAGGCACCCAAATTGGCATCTGGGTTTGAAAATCAGTACACAGATAAAAACAAAAGCACAATACAATAAAAAAGAAATCAAGGGAGAGAGAGAGAGAAGAAAATGTACAACAATTCTGAAGCTAGCATTGGCTAGATGTGTTACTAAATATACTGAATGTTGGCCCTTTTTTCCAGGTTTCCCCCAGTTCTGGCAGAAAATAATGATGTACTTTTGTTTAAATTCTTTCCCTTAGTTCCCAATCTCCCATTGCTTAAGTATTTTTATCTGACAGAAGCTTGATGCAGGGAAATGGGAAGCTTGGATGCTGGAGAGTTGTGATTTAAAGATTTAAGAGTTTTGGTCTTCCCACCAACAGTGTTTTCACTTGGTGAATTCTGCTGCAGCTGATGAAGAGGCTGCTCTGCAATCCTACAACACCCCGTTTCCCCCCCCCCAGTGCGCACGCACAGAGACACACACACACAGACGCACGCAGCATGGATTTTTTAGGTAAGAGGTGAGTGTTAGCTATACCATCACTTCAAATTAATGCTGCCACATTTCCCTGGTGTTTATATTTTTAAAAAGCAGGCCCAGAGACCCCCAGAGAAGGGGTTAAAGTGTTAGTGATGTACTTGGATACCAGCCTTCCAGCCATAGGGGAATTGTTCCCCTTTCATTGGAGTCCTTCAATCTCGTTGCACTTTAAGAGCTCCCTGGCTGACAGATGTGGCCGGAGGCTGAGGTCTTCCGGGAAAACCGTAATGTACTGAGCAGAGTCTTCTCAGTAAAGAACTATGATGCAGCTGTTAAATTGAAAACCAAATGATTTTTAGGCCTGTAGAGCTATAAGGGTTGTCCTGGAGCTTTTTGTATTGCTATTTATTTTTGTCTCTAATCTATGGCTGAGCAATTGGAGGACACCTAGATTTCTGTTCAGATGATCCATAGTGGTTGAGATTTTGCCATACATACTAGCCAGAGAGTCAGTAACTGCTGAGCAGGGAAGGCATATGAAGCTGGCAGCTCAGGAACTGAATTATTGATTAACACAATTTGAATGGAATGCTGTGTACTGTATATGCATTAAAGTCATCTGAACTGTTAAATAAATAAAGCTGTTAACAGAAATGCACTTCATGTGTACCAGGACTGAGCATATGTGGGCATATAGCATTAAAGGGTCCTCTCTCACAACTTCTGTTAATGGTTCAGCCAATTCTGTTTGTACGAGCACTATTTTATTTTGCAACCTATGGATCTTCAATTGTCAATAAAAGGAGGAAATGGCTTGCATACACCTGGGGAGGGGCAGGATCCTTTATTAAAACCAAATGTGTGGGGCAGATTTGTGTCCCTTATTTCCTTTATTTGTGTCCTTTATTTCCCTACAGCAAATACCTTACTTTAATCCTTTCTGAAAGTAAGGATCAAACAGTCACTTTAACTGACGTCGTCATCACCACACTTTAATCTCATCCTTTATTTGGATCTTTGCATGTCCCTTTGTTTGCTCTTCAGATTTTGAAATGAGCGCAGTTACAGAGGAGAGGAGAAATAGAAAACCAAATGAAATCCTTATGACAAGAACAAAAGCATGCATTTCATCTTTGAAATAGAAATACTTGTAGAGACAGATTTTTTTTCTAGCATTCTTCTTTCCAAGAACTTGTAAGATTTCTCTTAACACCCAAATATGTATTCTTGACATTAAGAGAATGATTACTGCTGATGATAACATTATTCACAAGGCAAATATATCCTTTGACAATGCTTTAACATGAAAATATATATTCAGTAAAGCAGCTTGCCATATCTTCTTTACTAAGGGCCATATTGCAGCATTGATTTTTTTATTATTATTATTTTTTACGCAGAAGTCTCCACAGAAATCAATGAAGACTTCTGCTGAAAAAAATCAATGGCACAATATGACCCTAACAAAGTGGTAAATTTCATGGTGATATAAATTGTATTTTGTTTTTTAAGATGTAAAATGCACCTGCCTTGAAGCAGTAGAGAGTCTGCTTGACTAAGTGTGAAACAGAATTTCAGCCACTGAATCTAGATCTTAATGAGAGATGCTTTGTTGTCCAGTAGGTCTCCATCAGAGTCCCAGTTTGGTGGCATTCTTGATGCAAGCTGTTTTATGCAGCTGTGTTATTTATAAAACAACTCCTACCCCCTGCCGTGCAAACGAACAGTGTCCCATGTAAAATCATGTTTATTTGCACTCAGTGAAGAGCAGCAGAAGCTGGACAACTGTATTTGTCAAACAGACATATTGGGCCCTGTGAAAATCCAAGAGACCAGTCCTGACCCCAGCTAGCTTTATTGTCATAGGTGGATAAGCATAGAGCTTGTGAATACTCAGGCCTGCAATCTTAAAATTCAGTTTTGTTGGGCTTGGGTTCAAGCAAATTTCAATTACTTGAATATTAGTGAAAACTGAATGCAAAAAGGGATGGGTGTTAAGGCCACATTTGGTTGAATTAGTTCCCTATTTCTATAATATAGAAAAAAAATCTATGTTATATACTTTGAGCATGATGATTGTATTAACTACTGTTAATGAGTCATGGAAATTCATAAGAACAAAAACACTTCAGTAATTACACTGTGGCTGGGAAACACCACATTTTTTTTCTCCCTATCAGTCATTGTATTAAGTAATCTGTGCTAAATTCACAGAGTAATGTTTTTAATATAATCACTGGGAACCTACTTAATAAGGTTTGGCCCCAAGCAGGCTGTGAGCAGCTCCAGGCTTTTCGAACATCTGCACTCAGCAGTCTCCAGCAGCCTGGGGAGCATGTGGGGTTTGTTGGGAGGCATGTAGGAGTTCCCCATCCCACTGGCCTCAGCCAACGCAGGCAACCTGCATGCCCTCCTCCCCACCAGAACAAAGGTTGGATGTGTGTCCTGTTTGCTACCAGTCTAACCTATACCACTTACAGGAAACCATGTAACATATCGATTCCATCTCAGGCTTTTTAAGTGGCTACACTTAGCCCAAGAGTTGAGTTTATTACGTCAGAGAATAGTTAAAACTGCTTTAATTTGTTCCCCATCCCCCCTTAACTGGCTCAGAGTACAACAAAGAGGTATGGGTACCTCTTTTCTCATACATGTGGGTATGGGTATTTTTTCACTTTAAGACAAGTGATATCAGTGCATCTAGAGCTGGAGGAAGCAGGCTTACATTTTGCAAGCTCACATTTTGTAGCAGAGATAAAAAGTAAAGCATCTCACCTATTGCTCCACTATCCCTCAGTATTTTCTATGTGAATCAGAAGTAAATAACTTGAAATCACTGAGATGTGACAGGTTTATTTGATAACTGGGCCATAAAGGAGAGGCTGCATACTTGTCTTCAAACTGACACAAAAGTAATGCTAAGTAGAGTCAGAATGAACCATTCTTATGGTAGCTTTGCAGTAGTCTATAGCAGCTCAGTGCTGCAACCACAGTACTAATGGTTTTTAAAGCTCTGGTTCTTGAGCTTCTCTCTCTGTCTCAAGGAGCTAACTAGGTGTGAGAATTTAGATGAACACTTCAATGTAATTTTATGTAATTTGATGTTGCCATGTAAATCTCTTTTATAGGTCCCTTTAGATGGAATTTAATGCGGCAAAAACCTTGTCATCAGAAGGATTAATGTCTGCATTAGCATTTCCGCAATAAAATCAGAAGCTAAGTGGTGGAGGCCACAGACACCTCAAACCTGGATTCTACGGCTCAGCATTAAGTGCTGGAGTTTTTATTACTTGCAGTAGGGAAGCCTTTGCCAATGCTTACAAGGAACTGCTTATCCCTTCTTCTTTGGGTCCTGTTTGATGGAGGTCTCCTAACGCCACTGCAGCCACAACCACAGCAGACTTTAGAAGCCGAGCCAAGAGAAAATGTTGTCACAATGCCAGGGAGGAGGTCATCCGCCCAGCGAGTCAAACGAGGCTGGGTATGGAATCAGTTTTTTGTGCTGGAGGAATACATGGGCTCCGAACCTCAGTATGTGGGAAAGGTAATTTGTTTTCTATCTATTAATATAACTACTAAAGTGACAAGACAAATAATAATATCTACTATAAATATGCGTGTGCCCCTGCTGCCTCCCACACACGGATCAACCTGACTCTTCTTGTGCTGTATCTTCTGTATTTGGTGGTTTGCAAAGAATATAAATGGAACAGCACTACATTTAACACTGGTTTAAATGAGAGGCACATCTAGAAAGTCCCTCATTTTTACAGCAATTAAAAAAGAATATGACCCATACTCTGGTATTTCTTACAAGTCATGACAGAAACAAGGAAAATATTAGAGGTTTTAACTTATTCTATCTTGAGCATTGTGTCAGGGCCCAAACTGAATGTATCAGTAGCTGTAAGTCAATCACTTGGTAGATGGGCAAAAGATCCATTGTTTTCCACTGGAGTTATGTCCATTTATCCCAACTGAAGATTAGAACCTATGTGTTTAGCAGACTTGGTTACTAATAAAACCCTGAGTTACAAACATTGATGATTTTCAAAATATATGGAGCTTGTTCTATGACACTGATTACATTTTAACTGATTTTTTCTTATCCATCATTTTGTGGTTAAAAAAACCTGAAGAATTTGGAAAACATTTTACTATATGATAACTAAACATTTAAAACATACTGTAATAGGAGCTGTAAGGGTGCATTTTTTTTTAATTTTAGTCCTGGATGTTGGAACAATTTTAGAAGTTAGATATGAATCCACATATCTTAGGCTCAGGGTAAAAACAGTCATTTGTGTGAATTGGTATAGTTACTCCAGTTTGGCAACCACAGACACCTGATTTTGCTCTTTTAAAAACAAGTCGTATTTCAATACCGGTTGCTTTGCTTTTTGACCACTGATACTGCTTCCGTGCAGACCTAAAATGGCAAATTGACAAGTGTCTATGTATTACATAATTCAAACAAACATACAATGAAGTTCCTACACTGTGGATGCACATCTGTATGCAGTGTCTGTCTGTCTCTATTGTACCAACCATTGTTTTTGTGATTCATGAATAAGTTGTCAGGCAGTTGTATGGCAGGGTAGTGGAGGCTTTAGAAAGTTAGATTATGGGAATGCAACTTGAACTACAGTGGTGCAAATTATTATATTTACCTAAGGGTGAGACTGGGATGGCAGCCTTGTTGTTAAGTTATATCTCTCTTCGGCTCCAGAACCAGGTGCTTGCGCAGAGGTGGACTCATGCAGAATGCGGCCTGCAATCAGCCCAGCTATAAGTGCGGTCTTCAGACTTTGGAGATCAAAGGCAGCTGATGTGATGCTAGCCACGTCACTAGGCTGTTGTGCTTTAACTTTGCTAGCCCAGTGGATCATTAGGACTTTGGTCCTGACATAGACATTTATGTGGTTCCATTGAATTTTAAGTATAATCTATCAAAAATCTGTGATGCTTTGAAAATTCAGCTGTGGATGTTCTACTGGTTTCCCTTTTTTCCTTGCTATATACTATTCCTCAGTCTTAGTTAGCCTTTACTGGCCTCTGAAAATTAGAGGCGTGATTGATTTTTGTTGTTGTTGTTTAAAGCACCCAAAACTGCTAGTGAACAAGCGCTAGAGGCTGCTTGCTATAGAGATGTAGCATCATACTTCTGTCCTTACTTCAACATCACAGACATTTTCCTCATTTTTGTTGTGAATTTAAATGCTGTCTGTCTATTCAGGGAAGTAGTAGTTCATTCAAAATGTAATCAGACTGACAATTATGGCAACCTCATGTCCTCACATTCCCTCCCACTCCTCCCTCCCCACTCCTGCCCAAATCATTCTAAGCAAAGTCCTCATAACTAGGGAAGGGAATAAATCAGAAGGCACCATAAAATCTGCCATTCTAATTTAGGTGGAATGCACTCAAATACTACAGTTTTAGAAATTTGTTCAAGACACTAATGCACATATCTATTAAGATTTGAAATGTTAGATATACATTCTGAGTCTAAAAACACAAAGGTAACATGATGATCCTCTGTAATTATCCCAAAAAAGAGGAAAATTAGAGGATAACATTTTGTCTTAGAATTACATTCCCCTCCCCCTAACTCTAGCTTCTATATAGGGCAGAGGAATGAAATAAGTTTCATATGCAATGACTGACTTCCCATTTTCTGTGGCACAGGGAATGCTAATGCTAAGTATGTCATAGTTAAGGGAATGGTGGTGTGTTCTTCCGCATATCACGCACAGATACCACATATAGCTATTGTGGCTCATGGGCCTTTATGTTGCTTCCCTAGCCTGCTTTACAAAGGATTTAGGTCTGCTTCTAGGTTGTCAAAAATACAACCAGATTATATGTTTAATATATATCTAGAGAAGAAAACATTTGGGTTCCTTTACTGGTCAAACCAAAGGAGTCTTTATGACTAAGGAGGAATATTCATTATAGCCAGGTACAGACATTTCACTTTTACCAGTATAAGTGATCAGAAACTGGCCTATACCTGTAACAGAACAGAAGTTTGGTGCACATTGGGCATTTATGCATGTGCTCCAGAAGCGGGGAGGCACTTTAATTAAAGTGGCTCTGAGAGCTTCTTTAATTAAAGCACCCAGAGCATCACACGTATCAGAATCCTGGTGCTGAAAAATGGCAGCATTAACTAAAGCTCATTGAAATAATTTAAAATAGCCTGGTCTAAAATAGGCCTGGATCAACGTGCACTCAGACTTAATCGATTTAGGTTAGACTGGTGACTTGAACTTCTGTGCCAGAACCCCTAGCAATTCATGTTAGGTCATTGCCAGCATCCCACACTACTTTACAGCCCCCTGCTAGTGCCTTCCTCCCTTGCAGGGAAGTGTGCTGGCACTCACCTCATACTCAGCTCGTCTGACTGAGTGCCCAGCAGGCCCTACTCCCTAAGCAATCACAAAGCCAAGTTAATGCAGATCCCTTTCTAGCACAGACCCTTTCTGCAGCCCCCTTTCCTGCTTCTGGCCAGCTGTCAGCAGCAGGCAGGCATGCAGTGCAAGGGGAAAGGGAGGTGTCCCTGCACAAACCCCGTCATGAAGCACCCCACAGTGTGCACAGAGACTTGACTATGATGAGTCCAGAAGAACCCCTGTGAGCAGGCACAGCACCATGAAGCCCAGGTGGGCTGTTGGGCATGGGCAGCTTTGTGGTGCTCCACCTGCTTCTGGGGTTCTCCTAGGCTTAGTGTCAGGTCTGTGTGTATGTCATGGGGTGCTTCATGCTGGGGTTTATGCAGGGTCTCAGATGCCTCCCTTTCCCCTCCCCCCAAGCCCCAGCTGACAGATGTTTGTGGCTGATAGCTACTCCCACCATACACGCAGGGATTCCACCATGATTAAACAAGATGAACTTATGGACATTTATAAAATGTTCAAATCATGGTACATTACATGACCAAGTAAGCTCATAAGTAGTTTCCAAAATACATTTTTTTACTTTATCTGTACTGATTCCTTAACACCAAGCTAAAGCCATATATTTTGAAATTATTCTTGTTTAGAATTACTTTATATTAAAGGTGGTATATGTATCATTTTGTCCAGAGCTTTTCCCTCTACCTTGTAAGACTATTTTGTAATTGGAATTGCAGCTTTCATATCTCTTTCTTCCAGCAAGGGTAACAGGGGACAACACAGTGACAGGTGTACTGGTGGTTACATTGCTTATTATAGAACTACAGTTCTAACAATATCTCTGTAATTTATAAATGGGGGTTTTAATGTGCCTATTAAATAGGCCAACAATTTCACTAAACATTTAGGATGACTCGTTAATTTTGGAAGCCACCTGGAAAAGAACAGAAGAGATTTATAGCGGCAGCGTCAGGTGTTATCAACCCAAACTCTCAATCCATTTTATGTTCGCTTTCAGGAGACTATCTTAAAAAGTGTCAGGTTGAAATTCAGAAGAGTTGTAGAAATGGATGGGGATTAAACTAATTCACCATTAGAAAACCTAAAATAATGCTTCAGGTTGACACATTCAGAGCTGTCAGTAAAATATCTGCTTGACAATACACTTTGCCCATTGTAAACTGAACAGTAAATCAAAGTATCAGAAATCTTAAACCTGTATATTGCATAGTGCCATGGGAAGGCACCAAAATGTGCCTCATTAGTAGACAGGTACCCTCATTGACTACTTTATAATTGATATATAGTCTGGAATACAAACGTTGGGTCCAGTGATTCCCTGAGATATCCCTGTATAAATGGAAAATATTTTGGAAGGTAAAAATGAACCCCTAGCATTCGCTGGACTGGGTGATAAATTTCTACCCTGTTGAGATATTGAAAAAGAATAATAAACACATGTATGCGTATATATAAACCCAACGGTCAAGATTCTCTTCGATGCCAAACATGGGTTATCATTGGGTCCTAGCTGTATCCTGAAGCAATTTAAAAATACAAGCTACCCATTTACTGTTCTTAATGGTACTGTATGCCATCAAGGACAGGTATGAAAGGAAGTACCTATTATGTCACCTCCTAACTTTTATTTCCCTTATATCCCCCTATATTACAGCAGAATGGCAAAAGTGAAGATCAGGAAAGTCTTTGCTGCATATTTTTAACCAGAACATAGTCTTTCTCTGGGGCTTGTTGTTTTATCTGATTAATTTGAAATACAAGCACTGGACCTTACACACGATTAATATTAACAAGGTCAGTCTCAAATCTATAACATAGTGAACAGGTATCACTGTCATGTTTGGTCGATCTGTTGGCAGATGCAGAATGGATATCTAGGGTTGTAAATGTTAATTCAGAGTGAACCATCCTCTAACCCCAAGTTACTGGCCCTTAATTAGTCTATTTCGCTACATATGTGGCCTAGATGACCTGAATTTCTTTTAAGTTATAATTGTAATTGATTTCTATTATTAAATAATGCTATAATAATAATATTTGTTTTGACAGCTGACATCCAGCTATTGTGATAGTTCAGTGATTCTCAACCTTTCTAGACCCAAGGGACTCCTTGTTTAGAAATAAA